GGGCCGGCCCAGCCCGCCCTTGGCGTCCCCTGAGGCTGGGGAGCCGGGGAGGGAGCAGCCGGCTGAGGCGGAGCTGCCTGTTGGAGCCTCGGGGCTCCCCGGAACCTGACGGGTTTTGTTCCCCCGCACCCGAGGCCGCGGGGTTGGGCGCTTCAACCCGTAGTAACGGCCGCTTCTTCCTCTCTGTCGGGGGCAGGACCGTGTCCCAGGGTGCGGAGGAAAACTGAGATCCCAGTGTGCGGAGGAAACCTGAGTCCTCAGCTCTGTGAGTACCGGGAGAATTTCCGCTCTTAACGGGGCTTTCTTAAAGCTCTTTTGGGCGGAAAGGAACAGTCAACAAGAGCACGTGTACAGCCCCTCACCTGGGGAGGAATAACCGCATGGACCAGGACAGGTTGGGGCTGACCTGCTGGAGAGGAGCTCTGAGGAAAGGACCTGGGAGTGAACAGCGAGTTGGCCATGAGCCAGCAGTTGCCCTGGGACCAGGAAGGCCAGTGGTCTCCTGGGGTGCATTAAAAAGAACTGTCCAGCAGGTTGAGTGAGGGAGGTTCTCCTCCCCCTCTACTCTGCCCTGGTGAGGCCACGTCTTGAATATTGTGTCCAGTTCTGGGCTCCCCAGTTGAAGAGGGACAGGGAACTGCTGGAGAGAGTCCAGTGGAGGTCACAGAGATGATGAGGGGCCGGAGCAACTCATATGTGGAGAGGCTGAGTGAGCTGGGACTGTTCAGCCTGGAGAAGACTGAGAGGGGATCTTATAAATATCTGAAATGCAGAATGGTCACAACGTGGTGTAATTTGTAGGATGTGACAGGTGGCCCCGTTATCAGGATTTGGCAGTCGGGAGCTGCTGATCATGCAGGCCACAGCAGCATTTTCTGTTTGTTTCTGACAGAACACTTACAAGTTCAGTCAGACCATTTTATGTTGCACAGCTGTAGGAAGACACACTGTTAGACCTTAATTTTGGAGAATTCATGCAAAATAATATTAATCCAGTGATCTCAAAGGTGAAACAATTTATAACTGTGATAACAAGTGTTCTATTTAAGTCCTGTATTTCTTTAAGGGGGAAAAAAAAAAAGGGAAGGAAAACACAGACCAAGTGTTGGGTAACTCTTTTGTTTCCTTTTTCTTCAGAGCACACTGGAATTTTTCTCTTCTGTGTGAAACACAGTCATGACAGATCAAGAGTATGTTCTTTGCACGTGGAAGAAGCGTTTATGGCCAGCAAAGGTAAAGCAGATGCACAGATGAGGAAAGGTTTGTGGGTGTAACTTAGAAATGGAGGAACCAGTAGCAAGAACTCTAAGTAAGGATGTATGCACTCTAAAAAAGAGACAGTCTGTAGAGATACTGATTCTGTGGCCAGATGCCATGGAGTATCAGTCCTTTCTGTGCTGTTCATGTTAAAAATGTTCTGATGTCAGATCTGTGCTGTAGTCTAACAGGCTTGGTCAGGGGTTTTAAATGCATGTTTTTCTCTTGAATGTAGGTTTTGTGCAAAACTGGAGTTGTTGGGGGAACATCTGCTGCTAATGCAAAGGAGACTTCATTTAAAGTTGAAATAATTGGCTTGGAAGAACAGTTGAGTATCCTCGTTGCTGTCATATGTTTGCACTCTTAGACATTAAAAAAAGAAGTTATCTCTTTATCTGAAGACACCTGTGAAATGAGATCCTTGATTTACAGAAGGATTAGGTGCCTCACCCAAAGCCTGATGCCTTTTTAGAGCTGGCCCTATGGTTGTCTCACAGAACATCCATAAACAACCTGCTGGCTGGTACCAGGCATTCTTCATGTGTTGTTTGTTTTACCTTCTACTAAAAGCAGAGGTTTGGGAGGGGAAAAAGTATGGCAAGTTTATTGCCAGGTGACAGCAGTTCATGCTGTTAGTGATGTTTAATGCTGTGAGGTTTTCAGTCAGGTTTGTTGTCTTTCAGGGTTAGTGTGGACCCTGCAGATGCCTTACCCCTGAAGGAGGAAAATATAGAGAACATCGCCTCGAACTTAGGTGAGGATATGTCAGAACATTTGCTGCCTTGTGTGTGTTCTGAATGTCAAATGTACACCAAAACCTCATCTTGGGGACAGTACTTACACATTTCACTTATGTATTTATTGAGGGGTTGGGGTTTTTTTTGCATTTCTTTTCCCCTCTTTCTATTCCATCCATTAAGTTTGAAAATAGACTAAACATGATCACAGCTGCTTTTGCTCTTCCCTCGTGTAGTGAGGTGGAGGGAATGGTGAATTAACTTGTGTGTACTTCCATCCAAATAAGACATTGGAAGCTTGCACTTTGCATGTCTTTATATACTTTGCCTTAAGAATCAGGGATTATTTGTTAAGTTGCATCTTGAACAAAAGAGACTATAAATAAAACTTCTTCTTTCTTATACAAAGAAAGCTTACTGCATTTATTGCGTGTTCTTCACCAGATCAAAGGAATAATTTGAGTGAGGTTGTGGAAGAACTGAAATATCGCCGTTCTCTGAAAATTGCCCTGGATCTTTTGAAGCAAAATGTCTCAGCCAGACAAGTAGCAGCTTCAGGAGGACCAAGTATCCCGTTATCCCAGGAGGACAACGCCGGGTCTCTCTCTACCCCCTTATGGAGACATCGATCTCTCTTTCACTCTAAAGAAAAGTTGGAGCCTGAGACTGCCAAGAAGAAAAGAGAACAAAAAAATAACCACAGCTTGCAGACTGATACAAAAAAACCAAACCAGAAAGGTTCTTTCGTTTTGGAGGAGGGTGTTAAAGCATGTGGAAGGGAAACAAAACCTTCCAGATATAGTGCTGGGGACTTGTGCAATACATCAGGCTCAGATAGTCAGAATGGCAAAATACCGCAGTCAAAATCACTCCCAAGCCAGGAGAAAACCAAGCCCAGACTGTTGCCAAAGTCCAAACCTGGAAATAATCTCTCTGTTCAGCCCAAGGAGGAAAAAAGTAACCAGGGAAGAAAAAGACAAAGAGGTGCAGGATCACCAGTGTCGCCTGGGAACGAGCTCCCCAAGGCTCGAGCGCAGCCCCTTGCTGAGGAGGGGTCTCCTCTGTCTGAGTCTGACACAGCGCTGTCTGTCAGAAGGGCAAACACCAGAAGTCAGCCTAGGAGGACGTTACCAGATTCCTCTTGTAAAAGTGCCTCAGATGACTTGGAAAAATGCATCAGTAGTGAGAGCAAAAGTCTAGTGAAGCAATTAGGTGGAAAGAAAAAGCCGGAGAGTTTAAAACAGGTTAATGGAGAACAAGAGATCAGCACAACTCTGTCCTCGTGCAGCAAAGGGAAACACAGGAATTGCTCTGAATCTTCACCTGGGCCTTCTAACCAGGGGACACTTCCTGACAGCTTCCCCTCTCAGCCTACAGAGGAGGAAAATAAGGATGTTTCCCACGTGGTCCTGAATGAAGTAAAGCAGTTTCAGCTGCCTGACTTTGAGGAAGATGAAGGTGAGCATATCACTTGGGGAGGGGGAAGCTTCAGCCCATTTGATTGTGGAGCGCTGTTGCTCATCTTGAAATGTTGAAGTGCTTTTGTGAATGTGGTTCTTGAATTGCTGATTTAAATTCTTTTTAAGATTTGGAGAAGCAAAAAAAAAAAAAAAAGGCAGTTGCTTTAATACTGGCTAAAAACTGGCATGGCAGTTAGGTTTGTCTGGAGTTACTTAGGATTTGCATTGGAAAACTGTCCTTTGTGGTAATTCATAGAATGGTTTGGGTTGGAAGGGACCTTAAAGCTCATCCAGTCCCAACCCCCCTGCCAGCAGCAGGGACACCTTCCACTAGACCAGGTTGCTCCAAGCCTCATCCAGCCTGGCCTTGAACACTTCCAGGGAGGAGCAGCCACAGCTTCTCTGGCCAACCTGTTCCAGTGTCTGACCACCCTCACAGTGAAGAACTTCTCACCCTTTGCTTGATGACTTGCTAATTTCACACGTGGTTTTTTTCCTGTTCTGCTCTCTAGTTAGTGTGCAGGTCAGGGTGGAGATTAAATGATGTTACATAAAGGAACAGGCTGGTGCAGAGTCCTGAAACCAGTCTGTTCTTGTTCCTTTCCCTTTTTCATCTTCTATTCAGATTATTCTTTCCCTCGG